TACATATATATAGATATAGATATACATATACATATGTAGTTTTCTTTAGAGAGGTAGATATAGTCATACTGTCATAAATATTTTTCGTGACATAACTAACAATTATTGCGGCCCAGAAAAAGAAAGTGCTTCTGCAAATTCGGTCAAAGCATCTTGGTGGGGCAAGCAGTGCCTAGGAGTGCCGACGGTTGCAGCACGTTGACCTCCACCGAGGTGACGAATGGTGGCACATCCTTAGTTCAAGTCGCAGCCTGCATGACACTTACATATTGCAAATTGCGAGCTGTATTTTTCCAAAATTCTACTTATTATATAAATATAATGGAGTTAGATAGCAGACACAAAATTTCATATATGACATGTTAGATAGATAGACAGATGGATAGACACTTACACCGCACAAATGCACACGTCTCCCGACAAAGCCAAGGAAAGCGGATAGAATTCGATACACAGCCGTAGCAATATCAAATTATTGCAGTTCACGGGTAACATCCAGGAGCAGCCAAAGGAACGGCCTGCGTCTTGAAGATCACATCTCCAGGTTTCCTCAGCTCTGCACACGTCAGGGCACATGAGCAGCGACTTCTGTGGCTGTCGGATCTGACAGACCAATGTGGGAGTGTCCGAAAATAAGGGTACCTTATTCTGGGGTCCTTATAATAAGGATCCTACTATTTAGGGTACTATATTAGGGTCCCTATTTTCGGAAACCCCCATGTCGAAACGGTGTCTGTGTTTGACTTCATGTGAACCGGATACCACGACAGCAGCAGAAAATTTTGGCAGCCATGTGGCAAGGTGCGACCCAACAGCTGCCTAAGCTCCGGCAGTCTCTGCTTTCGCTCACGCACGGCCCGTCGCACCCCAGTGCAGCAAAGCTGCTGGAGCTGCTCAACCAGCTGGCCTGCATGCCGAAAAGCTTGCAAGGTGGACACGTGACAGATCTGCGATCACACGCCTTTGTAGTTGGCTGTTACAGCCTCGGCTTCACTGCAATGCTGGCTGAGAGAAACTGCCCAAACAATCAAACACCGAGGCGCCTGATGATGATTCGGAGCGGAAGGGTTCTTCAGCTGGAGAGTCCTCACTGGCAAGAGCCTCGACGAGGTGACCAGATTGCAGGGCGGCTGGCAGGCTATGCACCCTCAAGCGACTGGGGCTGGTGCTCTTGCAGTGCCTGAAGGGCTTTTGCAGCTGCCGCTTGCTCCTAAAGAGTCCAAAACATCGGAATTGACTTTAGGGGAGTCGCGGATGTGCCTTTTAGAAGCGTGCTAGAATGATGTGGAAACGGGCTCCGCTGGCTTCTTGGCGCTGCAAGGCTGACCCAGGAAGCGTCGACCTGGTGGGTGGCTTTTGCCTCAGACATCAAGCCCTCAAGGTTTAGGGTTTAGGGTTTAAGGTCTAGGGTTCAAGGTTTAGGGTTTAGGGTGTAGTAACAGTAGTAGTAAGAGTAGTACTACTGGAACCCTTCACTGCCAAGCGCTACTTCCTCTTACCGTCAGCTGACATCACTTCGCTTGACTCTTTGCAGCTCTTTTTTCGGTCGGGATTACGAGCTTCAAAGTCCAACCAGCATCTTCACCAGGTGCAAGGTCTGGTCGTTCGTCTCTTCCCCTCCAAGAAGTCGAGCAGCGCCAGTTGGGCTGGGTTCCTAGATCCAGACCGGTGCCGAGACCTGGTAAACGTAACTGGCTCACCTCGTAACGCCTTTCACGGAGACGAGGTGCTGAGCTAATGTAGGAACCTGATTAAGAAACCCTGGCCCTATAACCCCCAATATATTAGGGCTCATACTAAGAACCCTCATAAAGAGCCGGGGTTTCTTAATCAGGTTCCTACATTACCACCATCCGCCATCCGCCCATGCATTCGGTCTCCGAGGCTTGCAGCCTCTGGTCGATAGAGCAGTGCTTTGTCGACCTGAGGCTGCCGACCTTAGGGATCCGCTGCATCTTGAGATTCTGTGTGTGGAGCACCAGAAGCCGGTTCATGTTGCTCCTCATGATGTCACCCACCACTGCGATCTGCGATTCCCGGGCTTGCGTCTGGGACACATCCGCGCGAACGGAAACGACTCATCTCGTGGTCTTTAGCATCCCGCGGCAGAACATTCCGGAAGAACTCTGAGGGTGTGGGGAGCATCTATGTCTCTAGATGCCTAGATGCTGTCCTTGGGCCAAATGTGGAGTGCTGTCGTCAGGAGCCGGGCATGCAACTGACAGCAGACACCTTCTTCAATCGAAACCAAATACAAACCTTATCCAAGCATTTCTGAGGACTGTACTCCCGAAGAGAGTGTCAGGCGTCAGAGAGACGGATGCAGTGAAGGGAGCCGCTTCGGAGACTTCGTACACCACATCCCCCTTGACGACGGGTCCTGATGCCGATCATGTCCAAGGCTGGAGCATTGTCGTGGACAAATACATCTGCATCTAGGCATCTTTTCAAAAGACGATGGAGAAGATTGTTCAGCTGCCCCTTGAAATTTCCGCCTCAGCACCGGCAACAAGGCAGAGAGCCGAAGACCTCTGTCAGCACCAGCTCCGTGAACCCGAAACCCTAAACCTACCAGAGACACTTAGGCAGCGGCTCCCGCAAGAGAAGTCGAGCCCGCGGCCTCCGTCCTCAGCTGACAGGAGCGATTCAACGGGCAAAACTAAAACCACCAGTGCCTTCAATGCCAGGTAATATCATTCTAAAGCTGCGTCTACTACTCCTCTCCTTCTCCTCCTCCTCCTGCCTGCTG